GGACTCCGTCATCCCTCAGGGGACTATCCGGCTGCCCATAATCGCAGGAGAGAAACCTCGACAGACTACGACAATAGCCAACTTTGTGGTAATAAAGGGAGGCTCCCAATACAACGCTGTAATCGGGAGACCAACCCTTCAGGTGCTGAGGGCAATAACCTCCGTCTATCACCAGAAGGTCAAGTTCCCTACCTCAAACGGCGTAGGTGAAATGAAGAGCAACCAGTATGAGGCTAGGGTTGCATACTCTGATGCCCTGCGCGGATACGACCAGCCAGGGAAATAAGAAACTAGGATGGTCTATCAAAACACCGTCGAAGACATAGACCCCAGGGTTTAAGAGGAGGTCACATGGTCCCAACCCATCGAGCAATTGGTGGAAATCCAAGTTGACGATGGCAAGCCAACCAAAGTACTAAAAATAGGCTCGGACCTAGCCCCATTACTTAAGGTCGAGATCAAAAACTTCCTCAGAAAGAACTTAGATGTCTTCAACTGGAATCATGCTGACAAGGAAGGAATCGACGCCGAGGTTATATGTCACTCCCTGAACGTCGACCCCTCATATCCTCCTAAGCGCCAGAAGCGTCGACCAATGAACCCCGAGAGGTATGAAGCGCTGAAAGAGGAGGTCGACAAGCTGATCAACAATGGGTTCATCAGGGAGGCCCATTACCCACGTTGGGTCTCAAACCCCGTTTTGGTGGTCAAGCCTAACGAAAATTGAAGAACATGCGTCGACTTCAGCGATCTCAACAAAGCCTGCCCAAATGATGGCTTTCCACTCCCTCGAATAGACTAGATGGTCGATGGCACAGCGGGACATGAGATGCTGAGTTTTATGGATGCCTACTCCGGATACAACCAGATCCCCATGCATCCAGCCGACGAGGAGCACACATCCTTCATAACCGACAGGGGCCTCTACTGCTACAAGGTGATGCCTTTTGGCCTGAAGAATGCGGGGGCTGTTGGTTGCCGAATCGAATTCGGCTGCGGAAGCGTGGTGGTGCGGGGAAGAGGCGGATCGTGTATAACAAAAATTTTCATAAAACTTTTGAGATACTCTATAGATTATATTAATTTATGCACGAATAAATTAATCTCATTAACTTATATATATCAAGAACTCAATCAGGAAAAATACCTGGAAGCCGACTCGGATGATAACTTGAGTTCTTTGACCACGAACAGTCCTTGCTCCAATCTTTGTGTTTAGAAAACCAATGTCTTCCACATCAATTCCTAGAATCCACGAAAACGTGTGTGTGGGCACACATGAGACAAAACAGGTTACAATAAACACTCAAATTTCCACAAACACCA